GGTACTGGATAATCCCAGCCAGACTGCCCCTTTAGTTCCTCTGAAGTTCAGGCCAGTTTCTGGCTCTGAGGCTGAAACCAGATTACTTGAGTCCAGAACAGTCTAAGTATCTCCTACTGGCTTGAACTCCACTCCCTGACCGCCTGCTGACTTGAATTGGGCATCCATATGAAGGCAATGGGAGCCACTTGATGAGGGTCTGCCTGAAGCTGTTCTGAATTCTGAGTTCAGCTGACCCTCTCCAAGATGGCAACCAGCCAATCACCTTTTCACCTGGTTGAGCTCTGAACCCAGATAAGTCACCAGCCACTGCAGTCCACTGTGTCCACTGCTCTGTTTCCTGGTGCATTTCTCTGTGGAGGCCTATGAGATCACCAGCAGTCATGTGTATGCAGGTTCAACCCTCAGCTCCCTCACCAAGTGTCTGAGCTCTGGAAGAGAGCACTGCTTGGTACCTCCCTCTTCTTTATTAAAGTTTCTTTCTTCACTCTCCCTACAGACTTTAATTCTCACTTCAGATCCTTCCTATGTCTGGGGAACCCACTTCCTGCCTCCTTCTCCTCCCCACACTGCTGTATTCCAATGTCTGCATCATCATCATCATCATCATTCATCATAATTATTATATTATTATTTGGTACTAAGGATTGAAATTGGGACCTTGCAAATGTGAGGAAGTCAGCAGAAAAACTGAGCTAAATCTCCAGCCCTGCATCTTTTTAATAACATGCTGCACATTCTATTTGCTAATATCTTGAGGTTATCTGCATCTATGTTCCTCAATGTGAGTAGCCTATAGTTTCCTGTTTTAGTTGGGTCTTTATCTGATTTTGGAATCAGAGTGATACTGGCTTCCATAAATGCATATGGGACAACTCCATCCCTTTCATTTCTTTGAAAACTTTGAGGAGTATTGGTGATATAACATCCTTAAATGTTTAAGAACTCAGCAGAGAACCTTCAGTCTTTGGGCTTTTCTTAGTTGGTTGACTGTTTATTAATTTCATTGCTTGTCATTGGGTTGTTAAGCATGTTTGTTTTCTTGGGTTCATTTTGGTAGCTTGTGTCTGTCTAGAAATCTATTTCTTCAAAATTTGCTAATTTGTTGTAATACAAATTTTCAAAGTAGTTACTGTTTTCTGGATTTTGACATTATCTGTTTTGATTTCACCTTTTCATTTCTAATTGCATTGAATTCAGTCTTTTCTCTGTCATAGTGTGTTTAGATAATGGTTTAACTACTCTATTCTATAAAAGAACCAGCTTTTTAATTTTTTTTATTTTTTAGTCTTAATTTTATTGATTTCCATTTTCATCTTTATAATTTCCCTCCTGAACTTTGACTTGGTGTTGGTTTATTGTTGTTTCTTAAGTATCTTAAGATTTTTTCATAAGCTTATTTATTTAAGCTTGCTCTGTTTTCATAGCGTGAGCACTGATTTCTGAATTTTCCTGAGGAGTGCTTTCATAGTGTTCAAGGGGTTTTCTTGAGTTGTACATTGTCATTAACTTTCACAAATTTTTTAATTTCTTCTTTGACTTTTTCTGTGACCCGTGATGTTTAGGAGGATGTTAATTTTCTAGAAGTTTTTACCATTTCCAAATTTTCTTGTTGATTTCTATTTTCACTGCACATTGTTCTGATTGTATGTACTGGATGATTTCAATTCTTTTAAATTTACGTAAGCATGTCTCGTGGACTCATATGTGATCTATTTTGGAAAAAGTACTATGTGCTGCTGAAAAGAATGTAGCAGGGTGGAATACTCTGTATGTATCTATTAAGGGTGTATTCAAGGGTGTGGTTCAGCTCTGATATTTATTTTTTGTTTAGTTGACCTTTTGCTTTGAAAAAGTGGGATTGAAATCCTCTATTAGTTTGTTTTTGTTTATTTCATCTTTTCAGTTCAGCAGCCTTTGTTTCATGAAGGTAGGTGTGCCAATATTCAGTGCATTTAAATTTATTAGTGTTATCTCTTCTTATTGGATTGTTCTTTGAATATGTAGTGACCTTTGCCTCTTCTTAGTTTCAACTTGAAGTTTACTCTATCTGATATTAGACTTGCTACTCTTGCTTGCTTTTGGAGTCCTGGGGCATGGAATGATTTCCAATGTTTAATTTTTATTTTATGAATTCATGGAGACCACCCCAAGCAAACTGCAAATTCATACACTAGCTTTGCATATTAAAAGTATGAGTCTGCCTATTAGCCCACAATGGCTTGACTGTAAAGCTAGCAGTTGGTGTATGGGAAATGAACAACTCCCCCTCCACTGGATATAGCAGAGTTTTCAATGATTCATGAGGCTGTTACATCTTAGATGACAAGACCATAGTGCAGCTAAGGGCAGCAGGACTCTTACACAAAACTACTACAGTGTTAGAAATTAATGTACAGGAAAAAACAATTTCCATTAAGCAATGATCTGTTCATGCTAGAATGTGTTGTTCCCTTGTTGCTAGGACCCTGCTCGCGTCAGTGCTTTCCACTCCACTGTTCCCTACACCACTCCTTACCCCTTGGAGAAGTGGTAAGTTCAATAAATAGTGGCAAGCTTCAGGAGATAGTGTCAGCCTGATGAGAGCTTTGATGGTTGTTGGCCCCCCATTTATGCAGTATAGGTCTTGTCCTTTGTTATCCTGATGACATACATTTGCTCAGGTGAATGGAGGTCTCATCAGCCTCCAATAATGAATATCTTTTGGGATTAGATGAGTTTCTGGAATACAACACACTGTTGGATTTATTTTTTTTCTTTTTCTGTTTGCCACTCTGTCTTTTGATTGGAGAGTTGAGGCCATTAATACTGAGATATTAGTTAGATGTATTGGTTGTTTAGTATCATTGCCTTCTTTATCTGTGTATCATTTGTATTTCTTTTTCTGATTTTTTTGTTGTTGTGGTGGTGGTGGTTTCTTCATCGACGTAGGTTCCTCCATTTTAGCTGTGTCTAATTTGTTATTTCTGCTGAGAATATGTTTGAATATGTTCTCTAGGGCTGGTTTAGCACTCATATATCTTCTAAGCCTTTCTACTTGTCAATATGGTTATGAATATGAATTACCTACACATTCATTACTAAAATTTGGAAGGAGAAAGACAAGTTTTAGAGAAAATTCATAATGTCATGCTTTAATATATCAGCTGCAGATATCAAATAAGGTAGATATAAAGATTCACTTCAAGGAAGAGAGGTTAAGTACAAATATTTGCACATGATTAATTTCTTGGTGACAGCTTGTCTTAGCAGCAGATAAATATGTCTATGGTGAGTACTGGATTTAAAAAGCAGGCCTAGAACTAATTGGTGAGAAATTACAAAGTTTAGAGTTCAAGTATAACAAGAAAAGCAGCGAATGTGATTGAAGAGTAGCTGGGAGGAAGGAAATATCGAGGAAAAGCCCAAAACTCAAAAGGTGATTTGGTAAGGGGTGCTTGACTAGGCCAAAAGGCATTTAGAAAACAAGGAAGATGAAGCTATAAGGTGGCCAGCTGGTTTGAAAACAGTGACCTTAACAGACATTTTACCTAGGGAGCAGTAGAGATGGAACCAGACTTGAAAAGTTTAGCAAATGAATGAAAGAGGAAAATTGTCTCTGAATGAAATGGAGAAACATGGGACCATTGATGTAAATGAAAGGTCCGTGGAGGACATGACTTACTGTATGGTTAGGAATTTTTTTCCTAGTACTGGAGCTTGAATCTAGAGCCTTCACAGTGAGCTACATCCCAGCCCTTTTTATTTTTAAGACAGAGTCTCACTAACTGCCCAAGGTGGGCTCAAACTTGTGATCTTCCTGCCTCATCCTCTTAGAGTATTATGATTGCAGGCAACTATGGATTGGTATTATTGGAATAATAAGCATCTTTAAATAATTAAAATTCTTGTTATTTGGGGGGGATTCAAACAAATGACCAATCAGTGGACTCTCATACAATCATAAAAACTGATGAGTCAAAGAATTTTTGATGACATGGGAATATTTTGCTAGATAAGTAAAAAGTTGAAAAATTATCCAGCTAGTAATTATGTAAATCATAAGCCTGAAATCTGAACTCAGAGTCAATATAAAACACTATTTTTAAAGGTATACTATATCACCGCCCCCGAAAAGATTAACTCACAACACTTATGAATTCATTAACTAAAAATGATTCCAATAATAAATTGTTTCACATTGTTGAAGTGAACTGGTACACATACTGAAGGAACCCTAAGTGATACATTTAAATAATTTCAATAATTTATAAAAAATGTGCATACTGTATTACCAATGTAGCAGACTGCAATAGATTTAGTTGGATACTAAGGAGTACAGAAAATTCACACTTCAACTGTTGTAGATTCATTATCACTCCCCACCACCCCCACAGTAAGTACCTTAAAAGCATGCATGAGCACCAAGAGAATAAAAATAAAATCTTGGTCAATCATCAAGAATTTTCTTCATCTTCTGACTTTTGTTCATGCATCTTAAGATACTGGTTAGTGGGACTCCTTAGGAAAGTGCTCTGTAGCAGTAAATTCAGCTGAAAGGCCTAAGGCCTGGTGTGATGGCACATGCCTATAATCCCAGCACCTGGGAGGCTGAGACTGGAGAATTACTACAAGTTCAAGGCCAACCTGAGCTACACAGTGAGTTCCAGGCCAGCATGAAGTACATAGCAAGACTCTGTCTCAAAAACAAACAAACAAATAAACAAAGAAAATTCCAAAAGCTTCAGTTTTATGACTCTGGGAGTCATAAGCAGATTGCCCTAATCTTGCTCTACCTGTAAATACTCACATGAGGACTGGCATAAGCACTGTTTCTTTCACATACATCAAAAGGATATTGAGAAAAGGGGGTGAGATTTTTCAAAAATTTTTAATATTTTTGAACTGCAGTGCTTAAAAAAAGCATTTATACGAAGACATTCATACTGTTCAAAGATAAAGCAGTGTAACACTTGAAAATACAAAAATTGACTATTTCAAATAAATAAGTGTATAAATTATACTAATCTTGGAAAGAATCTATCATTAGTTAAAATACTGACATAAATTCTAGTTATGTACAAATTACACAGGTGTTGACTTTTGTAACACAAGTAATCTACCGAATATTTTAGAAAGCACTGAAAAGTTGCTAACAAATATTTTATTATATCTATCAACGTCTACCATGATCCACTGGACACAAATATTGGCCAACTAATTCCAACATTGACATTAGACATGAAGTTAATTTTTATTTTTGGCTCAGAGAACCAATTTTATGGAAGCTAGCTTTTGCTCAGGCATCCTTGTGATAGGAAAAAGCCCAGGGAAGCTTTAGGAAATTACACTATTTCTTTCCTAGTAGCACTTCCTCTGTTGGTCAAACAGTCACGATGGGCTCTAACACCGGTATACGGGGAGAGGCTTTGAAGAGTAAATTGGATATCCAAGGGGAGGTTCAGCAGCTTGCACTGTAAGGTTTCTTAAAAGCAGCGGATGAGCTTGGATGCTGTACCGTTCCTCATCATCATTTGTGGCATAAAGCAGTTCCCATGAGAGATTGGCCCACTGCCCTGTTACAGCTTCAGTATTTAACTTCCCAACTTGGACCGGTACTTCCTGAAGGGTGAGCACTCTCCCAGTGTACACTCCCTTGAAAACACAAAAGGGGGAAGGCAAGAGATCATACTTAGGCCTTTAACTTTTATTTATAAACTTAGAGAAGAATCACATCATATCTGGACAAACTTTCTCCCAAGTTCAAGACACAAAGTGGCATTTTAAAACATCCATGTAAGAGCAGCCTGTTTTTAGAATCAGGCATCACCTCTCTTTTCTTAGCATTTTTCATAAGTATAAGAAAAATTTCCTGGCACTTATTTCACTTAATCACCAGAACAAGTAAATCTCAACCACTTCTCTTTCTTTTCCTGGTCTGATCCCCTAAGTCTATCCGGCCTCAACCTTGCTTATATCACAAGTACCAGGCAGTGGACAGTCATGTAATGGACTCCTTTTTAGAAAGAGCTTGAGACTTAGTTCACAGTCTACACAATTTCCTCATGCAATGTATAAAATGCAATGCTTTCTAGCATATTTGCTGGTGTCACCATCATGACATTTCATTTTAGAACTTTTTCATGACTGGAAGAAGAAATGCTCTCTTTCCTGGACCCCTCCCTTTCTGCTCATTCTCCCTGAGCGATATAATCAAAGTGTAACTTCTATCTGTACAGACTGGCTGGGTTTGGACATTTCACGGGAAGTTAATTGTGCTTCTTATGTTGCTCTGACTTTGTCCTCACACTTAGTATATTTTCAAGGTTCATATACGGTTTACAGCTGAGTAATATATTTCATTGTATAGATATACTATGATTTGTTTATCTACTTATCAGCCGAAGTAGTCGCATTGTTTTTACCTTTCAGCAATTATGAACACTGCTGCTATGAACATCTGTATTGTTATGCTGATCTTCCTCTCAGTTATATAGAAGTAGAGCTGCTACATTATATAGTAATTCCACACTAAACTATTAGAAAAAAATGCCAGAATGTTTTCCAAAGGGTCTTAGTGCTTTCCATTTCCAACAGCAGTGTGTTTCAGCTTTTCCACAACCTTGTCACGACTCGTTATGACCTGCGTATTTGATTTTAGCTAACCTAGCCTATGTGAAGCGGTACACTGCAGTTGGATTTGCATTTCCCTGACCACTCATGATGTGGAACTTTTCAATGTGTTCACCAGCCACTAGCATATCTTTGGGGAAATGACAACACAGACCTTTTACCTGTTTTAAAATTGCACTTTCTTTTTTACTGTAGAACGTGACTTCATCACTATTCTAGTAATGTCCTTTATAAGATTCAGATATGTACAGTTATTTTCTTATACAATGTTCTTATGTCACTTTTTCAGTGTTCTCTGAAGCACAAGAATTAATTTTGATGCTTTTTTACTTGTTTCTCATGCTTTGAAGCCATATCTAAGAATCTATTGTTCAGTATAAGGATGCAAAGATCAATTTCTAAATTATCTTCTAAGATTTTTATGCTTTCGGTTCTACTACAAATGCTTTACTATCCAGGCATGGTGATACTTGGGAAGGTGAGATGGGAGGACTGCCATGAGCTCAAGGCCAACCTGAGCTGTATAACGAGTGAAAGACCAGCCTGAACTGTATAGCGAGACCCTGTCTAAAAAAAAGAATTGTCGTGATGCATTTTAAAGTTTATTTTTAAATAACGGTGTAAAGTAAGATCTGGAGTGGAGTGAACTGTACCTTCAAAATCTTAATCAATAGTATATGTGACCTTATACGGAATGGGTACTTTCCAGATGTGATTAAGGATCTCA